AATCAAAAAAATTTTTTAAAAAAAATATCACCACAGACCCGAGCTCCCGATCCTCCACCCCCTCATGACTAACCTGTTAATAAACCAACGCCCGCTTCTTGTGTAAAATCATTTTACAAAAATGTTTTTCAATTATATTAAATATACTTAGTTTTCTAAGAAACGTAAAAAAGTCAAAGAATGTCAATACAAATGAAAGAGGAAAAAGGGATGTTTGAAGAATATTATAAAAGGAACAATTTTGCCAACTTTCAACAGTGACAGTGTGCGGAGCAAACAGTATTTCACTTTTTTCTTCTTCAAGAAAGGCAAAAAATACAAGTTAAATTTGAGGTATGAGAACGATCAAAAATAGAATAAAAAAGTAACTTTATTTATTTTGCCTTATTGAGGTCATCAAATGACAGGTAGATAAGTCTGGATAGACCTATTTATTCAGAGATTTCTGTCAAGCTAGAAAATTAATCGACCGTAGTGTAGAGATGTGCGGAGACCGAGTTTTTTGTACCGTGTACTCTGCCATATCCTACCCTATTAGCTTTCACATCCTGTCCAATCCTATCCTATTGACTTCAGCCAGTTTGCAGCCTGTCTCAACCTGTGCTCTACCCTATAGAAATGTTTCGTACTCTTAACAGTGTACCACTTGTACTAAAGATATATCATACGAGCGTTTTTTTGTCACATCTGATTTTATTAATCTGCTACTATCATTAAAAACCTCAAAAGCACTACTGTCGTTTTCAAAATAGAATGTGTGCGACTGTGAGTTGAATAACTTCGAGACTTCAATAGCTGCGGATCTGCGGTTTTCACCAGTTTTCGCGGTTTCAACAGACATTACGCATCCATATATATAGGACACTCCGATCATCGTGGCAGTGTTCCTTTTATGCTAGTCTGATTGAAAGCCATCAATTTAAGCTTGGCTCTATCAAGTGCTGGATTTGTATTTTCCTGCTATCCTGTGTGAGCCGATCTATGACCGCCAGCATCGATTATATAGCGTCGTATAATAAGCGTGGTTTATTGAAAGTATTTCCACAAGCTAGTTAACGATGAACAAACAGGAAGTTCAGGTATCGATATCGTAGTTTTCGTCTGATGAGTCAGTGTCCAGATCAGAATTCAGATTTTCATCATCGTCTTCGACAAGTTCTGATTCTATTGTCTCTTCCAGAAAGGCATCGGCGGCGTGGAACTTTTCTTCCGCCGCTCGAGAGTGGTCAATGAAGCGGCAAGCAGTTTCGCTGTCAAGAGCAGCAATGTACTCTTCGGAAAGAGCGAATGTCATTCAGACGGAAGAACGTATTGTTGGAACGGACGTAATCTTTGAGCTGGGACCACACCAAGTCGATTGGATTAAGGATGCAGTGCTTTATCGGTAGGGGCATGAAATAAGACAATGCTGGACTATATGTGAGTTGCAACAGAACAAAAGCAGACGATGATGCAACGGGCACCACCGGCGTGTGACGACAATGGACTACACGTGCGATGGGACAGAGCATAGCAGAAGCCGAGACCACCAAACAGAAGAGAAGATGCAACGCGTGCCGATGTCTGGGTAATGGATACACTCTAACATCTATCGCAGTCTGTAATATTTCTACAACTTCTACGTTAATTAAAATATCATTTTGTCTTCCTGTCTAGTCATCAAGGCCGCTAATGGAAACTGTAGTTACGGCATTTGATAGAGCCAAGCTTAAATTGATAGCTTTCAATCAGACTAGCATAAAAGGAACACTGCCACGATGATCGGCGTGTCCTAAAACCTATATATCGATGCGTAATGTCTGTTTTCCTGAGAAGTTTTTTTTTAATTAACCGAAAAATGCGTTTTGGTGGGTTTTGTATATTGGATCCAGCGCTCGTTTGCAAGGTCCGAAAAATGCGGGGGCTATGTAGAAATGTACAAAACTCTTTGGGCTATCGAAAGAATCCCATCAAACCTTCTATCTTTGCGCACCTGGTTTTCCAGAGATCCTTCTGGAAAACCTCTCAAAACCCTATCAAAAATTTTTTTTCATGTATATCTATGTCCCAAGGACTTGGCTACATGATGGTGAAAGCCGCAGATCCGCAGCTATTGAAGTCTCGGAGTTATTCAACTCACAGTCCCACATATTCTATTTTGAAAACGATAGTAGTAAACAATATTAATTGTCAAATCTGTAAATGTGGAATGTTTCTCATAAATGATACATTATTTTCAAACAAAAGTGCGACAAATGTAATCGATGGTTCTGTTTCTTCTGCAACAAAGACTGGATCGAGAACACAATGAAAAATGAACAATTTACCTGCGGACAAAATTGTGAATATGAAACAAAATTAACGTATGAACTAGTTCCTATGCCTAAATATAATGCGAACTTACTAGTACCAAGTCGACGAGTGTGTGCAATGTGTTTTTATACTGAAGCCTTTGACGAAAAGTGTAAATATGATAGCTTCATCAATTGCGCGTATACATTTTGTTTTATATGTCTTGAATCAGAACAAAATTGCAGACGACTCTATGAGTATGAATATAATGTTGATTGTACTGTAAAAAAAACAAGATTATACTATGTTTCCAAGACTGTGTAACTAAACATTCAGTTTTTCATTTTCACTCTTTTTGTAGCTGAATTTTCTTTCGTAACATGGATTTCTCTGAAAACACACAGCTTCCTAAAGCAAGGCAAGCAAGACCTAAAGCTCGACATTTTCCTCTCATTTACATTCTAATGTAAATTGTCTTCTAGTATAATCCAAGTAATTGAGTATACTTTTTCGCGTGATTATCGCACGCGATTTATACAGTTATCGTTTTAGGCTTTTGGGGACTAACCAAAACATACTTAGAGGGACACACATATCTGAAAATCCGTAAACATGATATGTTTACGGATTTTGTTTACGGATTATTTATGTTAATACAACCGTACACGACTCAGCAAATAAAGAAAGCAGAGTGCCTCGGGGTAATTCCGGTGAATGTCAGAAATCTTTTCAGTATTTTGCTCATAGCTAAGTCATTCTTAACCAGAAAAAAACGATTTTGCACAGGTAGATAGATCTGATTCTTAGCTATCGACTGATGCAAAAATCATGTTAAAATTCATTAGAGATAATTAGTTCTGGTCAATTTCCAGTCGGCTGATATTAAATGACCGGAATTACCCCATTTGGGGTAATTCCGGTCAGTGAATGGTTGCCGTTGGGGTAATTCCGGTCAACAGAGGCAAAATGGCTGGTACAAAACTAAACCAACTTTTTTCAACGGTGAACTTTCACCTTTGTAATTAAAACTTAGACATGATATGCAGAATTATGAGTTCTATCCACCTGTCTAATCTGCACTGCGGTCATACTTACGATTAATTAGTTAATTCCAATTTAGGGAAATCAAAAGGCATAGTCATTTTTTAGAGATATGTGCTTTGGGGTAATTCCGGTCACTTCGTTCAAATTGCACGGTATAGACGGAAATCCGTTTCCATCGACTTCCAGAAGCGCATTTTTGCACTAGACCCAGTGATAAACTTATACAGAATACTTTAATCTATCATACGATGTGAAACTTGGGTGAAAAGAGCCCCTCTTGAACGCATTCTATGCTTGGAAAGGGTTTTAGCGATATTCCAGAAATATTTTACCGTCTTCATTGATCTTATAATCAACTTAGAAGGTTAATTAGCAATGACATCAAGAAAAAGTTGAACCATTCATACACAGCACACGATGCTCTTCATGATGCACCAAAAAATTTTTCAAAACCAATCGTTTTAGTGTATCATTATTAGACTTCTTTCAAAGTAATGACAATATCCAAGAGCGAAAATTGTTCTTGATCGGGAAGCCGGACAGCTTTTGACCGCCGAACAGGTGTTAAAACAATTGAGAGAAAAAGAACAACTTAAAGTGAGTATTCAATCACGAAAAGCAAAACGAACTTCAACGACGTCGACTCCTAAACGTAAAGTGACGAGAATCAACAAAAAAGTAGCCTTCAAAGATAGTGAGATTAAAATGAAACTTAGAACTATAGATCAACAGTTTGCTCCACTTTTTCTAGATCTTTTGATGGATACCCATAATTCACCGGCGACAACCGGATCTTCTAATACATTACCATCATCAGTATTTGTCTCAACCATTTCATCATCGACAGCAGTTCACTCTACATTAACGACAGATCCTGTCTTCTCTACAAACACTTCATTGTTAAATATGCACCAACCATCGTTAGTTGCTTCACAACCTTCTCAAATATCTAACGATCTTTGGAATAATACAGGTCTGTACTTCGCAGGATTCAAAAGAACAATGTATTAATTTGGTTTCATTGTAGGTTATTCACCTTTTTCTTCATCAAAGATTTGTTTGTTTTTCCTTTCCGTTCTAACCATAATTACGCGCTAGAGAACATTCTAAGAAAATATTCAGTCAAG